TTTGTTTCATACCGACACTCTTTTAATTTCTCCCTCTTTTCTTTCAAAGAATTAGTAAATAACTCAAATATTTTCCTAATTCCTTAATTCGCTCGGGGTTATTAGCTAACCAAATTTCGCCTTTTTTCGGAAGTTTCTTGACTTTACTCATTTTTTTTGCTCGGCTTTATCTAATTTAGTAAATACGTCTTCTAGTGAAGCTTCTTCCAAACCCCGTAGTTCCTTCTTTAATTTCTCATTCCCAGCATTAGCCTTATAACCAGTAATTAATTTTTGTCGTAATTCCTCCCTTTTTTGTTTCTGCTTTTGCTGTAATTTTTCCTCGACTGCTTCATTAATAAAGTGACTAACTTCCCTTTTAGAAACCAAGTTTTTTATCTTGCTATATGTTTTCTCTTGAAAGTAAACATTCATGTTCCGTCCTGCTATAATACTATATTTTTTATGTCGGGACACATACGACACTATAAAACTTACATTAAGATATTTCAATCAAGACCAAAACGAAGTATTTTAACTGAAACAAAAAAAAATCGAAACTTTGCAAGAAGGGAGTACGATAGAAGGTAATTAAATTAGAGGTTTTCAACCTTGGTTATAACCTAACCTTAACTGGAATATATATGAAGAAATTTATACCTTATCCACAAAAAGTACAAATGAAAGAACAAGAAAAATTATTATTGCTCAAAAAATAGACGAACTTCAACAAGAGGATTTAAGCAATTATTTTAAGATTGTTTAAACTATGATTTTATCTTTTAAAAGCGGAAATTAATTTCGAAAAATGTAATATATAGAAAATTCAATTAAATTAATATTATGACATGACAATATTTCATTCAGCAAAAAAAAAAAAAAAACAATAAGCACCAAGGACAAGATGTTTCAAAGCCTTTCTCTAACAAAACTAAATAATTCAATTCTCTGATTACAAAATAATTTTTTCTTACATTATTATATTCTTCAACCATTTCGTTAAGTCTATCCTTGCCAGCATTATCAATATCCGTATCACTAGGGGAATTGTATTCCTTAACAACTGGTTCACCACTTTCAATTGGGAGAATATTGTAATAGGCCTCTCTTGGTATTATTAAAGCATGCCCTTGTAAGTCTGTTTTTGTTTCATCTAAACCTGTAATAGTAAATTCTTTGTTTAGGTTTTTATTATCCATTAAACTTTCGTAAAAAACATCAGTTTTGTCTTCATTTTTTCTTGTTAATTCAAGAACGAGGGCGGATACTTCTCCTTTTCCAGGTACATTTTCCTTATTTACTCTTACGCATAAAAGAAGTTTTTCAAGTTTATATTCATGTCTTTGTTTTCCTTCAA